GCCATTATGGAAGAGTATCATAGCCCTAAGGCTATCTATACGGACGGGTCGCGGACGCAATCGGGTGTGGGATGTGCCATCTATGTAGATGGCGAAACACATGAGTGGACTCTATCTTCCTCATGCACCATCTTCAGTGCCGAACTGTATGCCATATGGCAAGCTCTGCTTTTCTGCCTTATGAGCAATACAGAGGAGAGCTTTGCTATTGTAAGTGATAGCCAGGGCGCATTAAATAGTATTAATTCTCGATTTCCTCGGGACCCACTAGTGCAAAGGATTCAGGCTGTTTACAGCAATGTTGTCGAGGTTGGGAAAAGCATATTTTGGATTTGGGTACCTGGCCATGTTGGTATACGTGGCAATGTGATGGCAGACGAAGCTGCTAAAAGAGCCACGGGAGTGAGGCATCTGGACCTAAAAGCAGCTTTAAGAGCAGCATTAGTACACCCTAAACCGTGGAGACCACCACTACTTCTCAGTAGGATTGAGCGAGTGAAAATCCACCGCTTAAGAATCGGTCATACGCAAATAACGCACGCCCATCTGTTACGCGGGGAGCCTCCTACGGTTTGTGTACGCTGCGGTAATCAAATGACTGTTGAACATATCCTAAGGGAGTGTCCGGTACTGGAGCCCATCAGGCAATCTTTTCATTTAATAGATGAAGTAGGAGAAATACTCAAACAGCCACAACATCTTAAAAATGTAATAAAATACCTAAGGTCTGCAAATATATTCGACATGTTATGATTTATACAGTATTTACAATAGGCTAATGACCAAGTAGTCGACGCCTTAAATAAACAAAAAAAAAAAAAAAAAAAAAAAAAAAAACGAAACAATCGTTTAACAAATAAAGTAAAACGAATCGTCACATGGAATATGCATTCCCAATGATAATCGGTAACGGGAAACATAACTATTACCATTGTATTTATAAAAATACAATGCTATTACCATAGTGTAAGAACACTAAGCTATTACCTACACATTCCGGCACTTGGTTCTCTATATATATATATATATGAAAAATTGAAAATGAATTTTACCTCTCATTGTATTCTAATTAAAGGTCTCAACAAAAGGAACCGTTTTCTACCAACTACTGCCCTACTTTCTGTCCTCTTATCAAAGTACGGGGAGGACGGGGAGGGGGGTGGAACTAGTTTTATCCTTCATGGTACTCTAATGAAAGGTCTCAACGAAAGTAATTAATTTCTACCAACAATAGCCCTCCTCCTGGACCTCTTATCGTGATCGGGTATATTCCCTTATACCTCAAGAACGGATTGTCGGAAAAGGGTACTCACAAAGGACGATTGAGACGCCTACAAGAAATATATCCATTGGTGATGTCAAAACAAAAGCTATTTCGGTTAAAAAAATGCGCTTTATCTGCACAAGAGTTGTGCACAGTTTATACTTGTTTCTACATTTGCAAAATTTGTAAAAGACACAGAAACGATCTGGAACATATACAACGTCGGCTCTTAAAATATCTAGCATTTCCATGTGATGGATACAAGTACTACTCTACAAGAGGCTACCCACAAAATCTACTGCAAGAAAGATTCAACTTTTTACCCTAAAGTACCAGACGTAAAAGAACAAGTGTGTCGTTCTTGTATAAATTATTATGGAATGAAATTGATTGTGTCTCATTACACAATTATTTAAATTTGACTGTACTTCGTGCTTCCTCCAGACATTTCCTAACTCTTAAATTACCATATTGCAGAACAAATATTTTACAGAATTCGGCAATGTATCGAATATTTCATAAATATAATTGTATATGCGATACTGTTGGTATTTCGAACATTAATTTAAATTCCTTGTAAGTATTATCCAATAATTTCTGTTTTGTTTTTTTTTTGCTTTTCCCATTGCACTACTAATATAATTTCTCCTGTTTATCACTACTGTATTTGAATTTATCACTTTATTTTGTTTATCGTTGGACTCAACAATTTTCTTTTACCTTAGTTATAAATCTATCATTATAATTAATTTGAGTTAAGTTCAATTTTGGTTATTTTTTTTATTTCTGCGCGGCTCTTTTTGAGCAGTATTTAAATTTTCATCGCTTGAAGCAGCTGATGTGTTGAAAATGCTTCTCAAATTGGTATCGACGAACCCAAAAGTGTATTTATGTGAAAGCCGAATACTTTTCAGAAAAATAAAATTCGAGAAAAAAAAACGTTTCCAGCAATCCAGCAGTTTTTTTTCCGAGGTCCACGGTTTTGTTCAAATTTTGGATATGTATATTAGGCATACTGAAACGAAAAATAAAGAGCCGGATTTTTGAAAAAAAAACTTTGAAGCGCCGGCATCGAACTTTTTTTTCAAATAGCATCCTAAAATTTTGGTTCGAAATTCGAAAGACCTTATTTTTATGTGTGCAATCTACAAAAATATAGGCATCACTTTTTTGTATAAATTAATACAAAACGAAACGGACTGCAGTGAGCTGTTACAGTGTTTAAGTTTTTCCGTACCTAGACTGTCGTCAAGGCATGTTTTTACATTTTACATACCGTTGGCGAAAACCAATATTTTAGAGAAATCTCCGATATACACCATGTGTAAAGACTACAATTTAATTTCGAATACAAGTGATATTTTTTGTATGAAACTTAAATCTATTATTCAGTTAATTACAAATTAAAGGTCGTATATTTTTTATATTGTAAATCACAGGTTATGATATCTACTTACTCTATATGTGTTCATTTTGATTTAAATTATTTAAGTATTTTTTTTTTTGTGTAAATTATATTATTTATTTGTTACTCAGTTGTAAACGTTCGTTAACAAGACAAAACGCAAACGGGTAAACGTCATGTTTAAACGCTACTGACTTGTAAAACTGACAGCAGACTTGTAAAACTGACAGCAGACCTGTAAAAATTTTACAAGTTAGTAATCTAGTAATTTCATTGTCCAGAATTAATGCGAAGTCTCTGTTACATGGATAACATGATATTTTAGACATTTCTTCAAGATTAATTTAAGAACTCATTATTTACGTTTACTATTGTTTACAAATGAGTAACAAATAAAATATTGTACATTATACGCCAGGTAATAGCCTAACGGCTCGCTAGTCAACTTCTCCTATCGCCAGTAAAAACTCACTTACCTGGCTAATAATGTAAAATACTATAAGTTATCACTCTCTACTTGAATTTAATTTAATTTTGTCCTGTTATTGGATTTATTCTGTTTGGGCAATAAAGCATTATTATCATTATGGTCGGTGTATCTTGTGAGAACTCAGGTCTAGCCTGGTTAACTAATCGCACGGATTAAAATCAAGTAACGATTAGTGTCTGTGTCTGTGTCTGGTGAAGTTATGTAGGTTATTATTATTATTATTATTATTATTATTAAAAATTGTGCCAGGTTCCATTACAAAAAAACTGAGAAAAAAAATGTCAAGGTTAAAAAACTAAAAAAAATTTTTTTACCAAAACGGTTTCTACGATTTCGTTAAAATTATCTTGAGTTTTTATTCGCATACGTAAGGAAAATAAAACTATTTATATTATATTTATAGTGTTATTTTGATCATTCTGTGAATTCGTCCATTTCAAGAAATGGTGTGGGTAACATAATTATGTGTCATGCAGCATGTCTAATTCAAACACACTATCATTGTTTGAAGTTTAATCACTACCAAGTGGTACTCCCGAGGGTACTCCCCATTTTTGAACAAGTATTATGTCATTTTTGCATGAGCCATATGATTTTCAGCTGCAAAGCGGATACTTTTAACCGATTCAAAAATCCAAAGAAGATGGTCGTGAAACCAAGATTACAATTGCAACAGATTTTCGAACGGTTGAGACGTACTTTGGTTATAGAATTCGCCAGAACGTCATAGTCAATTACGTCAGATCTGCACCAGACATGAAGAAATATACAACATTCGACGAGATCTCTAGTTATAATTTCGTCCACGTCCATACAATATACATATATTTGCCAACTTGCGACCGCGGAGGTTGAATACGAATAGACAGCAAAAAGCGTTTGTGTTCTTTTCATGCTAAAATATTCATCTCATTTAGGCATAGACAATTTGAAAATTAGTTCATTGGATATATTGTGGTAATTTATCGAAGAAGAATGTAAGGGATGAAGATAATATCATTTATGAAAGATGCATTAGCATTCTACTCGAATTCAGAATGAATTTGTAGTGTCCTTCAAGAATATTGACGATAGACAAAAGAGCATGACAAGCAGTTACTTTAAAGTGTCATTTAAAAATGAAGAACGTCATGTGATGTGAAACTGCATTGTATTGTTAAGTACAGAATATGCTGATAAAACGTTAAGTGGTACACGTAGAATATACCTACTATGCTTTCTTTTATATGGAAAACCACCATTACATTACATTCAGAAGTGGGAAAGCTTGCAAAAAGTAAGGTTTCTGACTTTTGAGTGGATACACAGACTGCGTGTTAGATATTATTAAATATTAACCATTTTGAAACAATACATGTTTGCATAATATTGATTCCACGCCACCGCATGCACGCATTAGCTTTGTTGCGTATATGCTTATTGCTTATAATCACGACGGTGAGGTTTAGTGCAAATAGAAAACGTCAATATTAGTGTAATTTAATTAATTCGGCTTGCGCTATTATAATACATATGAAATGTTGCTCAACGCGGAAAACTTATGAAACTTGCAAACTATCTACTTTTGTTACGCGTCATGAAATATTAAAACTTGTACCACTTTGGGATTGTTTCTTCCAACAAACTTTTATTAAAAACGAAGTCCCAGAAAGAACTTTTCTTACTCGACGCTCGATCGCAATTAAGTATATCTTTAATAGAAAGTATTAATCGACGTGCAAGTTTGGAAACTTTCAGAACTAGATGAAGACAAGATTTTCCATGTGGAATGCAGCTACAAATATTGATTTGGTGTTTTAGATTCTTAACTACTGTGCAATAAATGTTAAGAATCGACTTACCTGATTGATATAGACTGTCACGGCGATTAGTCGCTATCCCATCCCTCTAATAAGCGACTTGACGGTAGTCAACACGATACCGATCGCGTCATATCACTGTGGTGTCATGCCAAAACGGCGTAGGACGGCGGTAGCAAACCTCAACTTCTAATGTGGGGCATTAGGTGCTTCTAAAAAATACTAGTATTGATTTCCCATTTCTCGCTGCTTTCGAAAATGACGCTCGTGGAGTTACAGCGCAGAAACCTTCTTATTTAAACGGTGCGCATGTTACATAACCGGCGGCATCTCCTTTCAAACACCCACATCTCTGTTCGAGCAGCGCAAGTGCAATGCTCCAAGTATTTACTTTAATGAATAGAAGTAAGAATGATCCTTTCGATTAAACTTACAAATAAGGCCCACTACATTACAATTCGAAAAATTATTCTCACTTTCTGTACCCCCCAAATGAACCATTTCATTTTCTTCATCTGCAGACTACAAAAATGTCTGATTTGAGCAAACCAAAGTACTTTTTCCGAAATACAGTCACTAATTTATTACAAAAAATGTTCATAAAATAACCGAACGTCAAAAACAAGCATAGGTTTCTCATAAAATCACTTCCATCAATTGGTTGAATCCAAACAGGTAATTAATTATCTGGGTCTAATTACACATTATACACTATTAGATACTTCCCAGATCCCGTGTAAGTGAGTAGGTATGGATGGATGTTTTAATTGCATCGCGTTTCAACACCGACATATCTCTTTCCTTCCAATTAAGGTAACGTCATTCTCAGGTATCAGTATAAATACCAATTGAGAACCCCTTTAATGCTATTTTCCGTGACAATATTCACAACATTCTTTTTTCCATCTTCTTTGTTTAGTACCTTGTAATTACACGTCTAATGAAAATGTGAAACCATTCGCAAGCCTAGAAATCACCCACATTCAATAAGTAAAATAGATCAGCACCGATTTATGTCTGCAAAATGAAAATAATAAACATGCAAAAAATACGTTTTTCTGTGTTTGTAAATGCAGTTCGCACACATTTATTTCAACGAAGGCCTCCACCGTATTACTAAATGAAAATGTTCATTCTAATTTGCTTGTGAAGTTACATTATTTCTGAAATTATGAAGAACTATTTCATTTATGGAAATAGTCAGATCTCCCGACTTTTGTTGTGCTTTGCTGTGGTATAACACTTTCCACACAAAAAAGTGTAATTCGTGCTAAACAAAATATGAATGGCCACCATAAAATATATATTTCGAAAAATTATTCGGAGGAATCGTGCAAATATGTTACGAACCTAAAAAAAGGTGTGCTGAGAACGCCAAAATTCGACATACTTTTTGTTAAACTTATACTAACAGTGAGACAACCTTATGGAAAAAATGGAAGCTGAACATCGAGAATACGTAGTTCTGGACGCGAAAATTTGAAGAGGGGGCGGCATCTGTCGCAGATTTCCAATGTGTCCGGAGTTACAACCCTATAGAAATAAATTGTGACCTTTACTAATACACGAACAAAGATAACTCTTTTTGCAACATAAGTACAGATTATTTACAGAAGAGAAGTTATACTCTAGCATTCCACTTTTGTACATAAGAAAGACACAGATATAATTAATTTAGGCAAATATACCTACCAGAATTATAATGCTTCCGGGATATCAATTGAGTTAACACATTCTGCAGACTGCTTCACGGTAACATTGTTTTGAAAGTTGAAGGCGAAACTCTTACTTGGCCTCCTCGACCTTTAACATTTTTTTATTGCCGTGGATTTGACAAACGATATACCATATAGGTAGCTCCAGACCATATGAACAACTATAGGCCAATTTCACTGCTATCGCGCATATCAAAAATCTTGGAAAAGGACATGAAAGCACGGCTAATACGCTATCTTCAATCTCACAACTTAATTGCAGATAATCAATACGGTTTCCAGCAAAATAAAAACCCTCAATAGCGATTTGGAATTTTATAGAGAACATAGTTAAAGCTATGGCGGAAAAATGATTCTTTCTATGCGTCTTATGTAATCTTTCCAAGGCGTTTGATTGTGTTGACCATAATACCATGTTAGAGCAACTATCAAACTGCGGCATTAGAAGTATAGCTGCTTCGTGGTTTATATCTTACCTTTGTAACAGTTTACCAGATATCACCATGTTATCAGAATAAGGTATATTTAACAAAATACAATCCGATAAAAAGGCATCAGCGTGGTGAGTCTTAAAACTCTGCATGATTATACTAATGCGAATAATGTGTGAAACTTCTACAGCACAGCAGTTTGACTTCCATTTAAACGTTGAAATTCAGATAGGTAATTAAATCGGTGGATAATACCAAATACTCAGGTATAGGTATTACGATAGATGAAGCTTATGTATCGTGGTCATCACAAGATCAAATAATTGTCCTTCCTACATAGGCATCAAAATCTTCTACCATCTATCCGATTACATAAGATCTAAGCACTCAACAAGCAAACAACAGCAAATCACACGAGTTTTACTCATTGTAAAAGAGCTCTATCCCTTTCATGATATACGAATCCTTATTTACGAGCTCCTAGCGAGTTTATAATTTTGCGGTGTCTGTCCGTCTACCCGTCCGTCCGCTAAAGGAATTAATTTCTACCAACCATAGCCCTCCTCCTCGACCTCTTATCGTGATCGGGTATATTCCCTTATACCTCAAGAAAGGTAAAGTCGCATAGTAGAGGAGTGAGGATGATGTGTATGGTGTTTTGTTAATAGTGTACGGGTGTTTCTCACTTGATTTTAATCCGTGCGATTAGTTAACCCGGTTCTGACAAGAAAGACTGACCATAATAATAATGTCTTTATTATGCAAGTTGTTTGAAAGTAAAGAAAATTAAAGAAGGAAATAATTTAGGCGGAATTCAACACGTTGACCTAGACGTACAACTATTACTCTACCACTAACCTTGTTAAACATGGATGGTAAACTAAGTCACAATGATTAAAAACATAGCACTAAAGAATCGCATAATAATTTCACAAGTAAGGTAAGCACCGAGGTATGCACGACTTACAAAGATTTGCGATTCGTAAGACACAGGTTTGTTGTTTCTTCAAGAATGGAAGATGCACGAGGGGACCGTCGTGAAAGTACAGCCATCAAGTTCGGGCTAGAGAACAAGAGTTGCCTAGGACTGTGTCTCCGCTACAACCGTCGTCGCAAACGCAACAGTTTTAAGACGGGGGCAGTGTAGCGAAATGCCAGCAATTTCGATAAACTTCGAGGCGCCATGATAGATGAGTCATCGGTGATAAAGAACGAAGGTGCGAGAACATTCTGAATCGTACTTGATGGCTCGAGAACATTCTAAGAACGTTCTAGAAAGAATGTTGTTTACTATATAAGCAAATCGATTGTGTTTCGACTTCAGTTCCTACTTCGATGCGTTCTGGTTATTTATTTATGATATAAATTGTGAGTGATAAATTGTAATTTCTGTTATAAATTAATCCATTTTTCAGACTGTTTATTTATTGTTAGTTATTTGTAAATAACGACGTAATTAAACTTACGTTACATTAATTTAATGTACTCAAAATTAAAATGCTAAGAATTACTACGTATACGCACTACATGGTAGGTAGTAATAAAGTTCATTGGCTACATAAATTGGTATTTTTGCAAGCTTATTTTTTCAGTTATAATCCTCGTGTTTAAGTACAGCGCTGGAAATACTAACGCAACAACAACAATATAATTCTTATTGCTAACAAGGGAGACTAGGAAAAAAAATAGGCTAAAAAGGAAAAATTTAACCCTGGAGGAGAATAGTTTTGGTTTAACGTATACAAGAATCTGACTGGTGCACAAGTACAACGTGTACATATGCCTGAAGAGAAGAGCAATCGTTATATATGCAGGTGCTTATAAATTAGCTATGTCTTGCTCTCAATTTTTTAACTAGTGGCGGGTCTGTAGGGTTACACAAACACACACAAAACTTTGCTAAATTTTTGCTGTTAACGGAGAGTAATGGAGAAAGAGATGGTGATAATCCTACGATACGTGCATACAATAGCGGAAGAAATTGAACTCGTGATTCGTGGTACATAAAGTAAAACTACGGTAAGCGCCAAATTTCATAAAATATAATCGATCTGAATATCGTTCAGACATCTGTCGTGAATATAGTGAACTGAATGCTACTTGTTGCCCAAAATGCAGGGCTCTTAATTATTACCATCATAATGTTGCATCATATTCGCACAGGCGTCGCCACCCTATGGCAGAAAACTGCACCTAACGCATTAGTAATAATGTAATTTCCTGCACGTAGTGACTTCAGATACAATTCGATTCAGCAAACTAACGTTAGATGTCAGAACGATATATTTTTTAAATTTCAAGGCCCATCCCAGAAAACAGGCGGCATATAATTTTGCTACATTTAGGCAGTACAAGTAAACAAACTAACAAAACACATAATCTTTAGCGTTTATACTTGGCTGCTGTGTACTTCATTGACTTTTCATGTACCCAACAGGTGCAATGTGTTTAAATGCATATATACATATTTTCGCATTATAAAACCCCTCTTTTACTTATGTCTTGGTATGTTATATAATTTCTTTCGCACTTACCGCCACTTATTAGGGTCACATTTCGAATTGCAATTGAAGGTAAAGTGAATGCAGTACCAGAAGTCCCACAAGAACCTTGAGGCAAATACCCACAGAATATTCTCTTTTTTTTTATTAAAGGCCCTCACGGGATCAGGTCCATGATAGCCCTACCTGTTTAACAATAAGGAGATAACACTGTCCACATAGACTTCACGCAAAGGGGCCTCTGTCAATGCGACTTACACAGACAACACAATGCACTAGACCACTGTTCGGTAATTAGGTACTATAACAAAGGGCAAGACAATTCTCTTGAAAAACGAACACATTCTGCTATGGAAGACAAGAAACTGTTTAAATTTGCTTATAAACACGTAGCACATAATCAGCATGATATCCCATTCTTCACAAGATGCAAACGAACATTAGTACATTTTGTAGTTAAATGACCACATGTGTACTATATTTGTTTATCTGCTGTAGAAGCTAGGTATTGATTGAGAAATGTATTTATTTTCTTAGGTATAAATTTTATATCATTTTAAGAGGTTCAAATTTAATGGAAAGACAGATCTGTGTAAAAAAAGGTTTAAAAATGGCGGCCATTGGCAATGAATGGATAGGTACCAAGTTTGTTAAGAAATGCTGCGCTGAAAAAGAGTGCATAATGAATAAAGTCGATCATCCAGTCTTTTAATTAATATTTGCAGTGTATTTAAGTGTACGTATTTAAAAGTGGTTGGAAGTTTGCAAAGTACCTAATTGTCATTCTGGTGCACCTTACAAATGAATCTGGCCAAATTCATATGCAAATGGAATTGAATTGAATTGAAAACACTTCCTTAAGCTTACTTAATTCATTTGTAATTAAGCAATTGACGTAATAAAACCTTAAATTCAAACTCCATCTGCTACAGCGCCTACTAGCAAAAAGGTAATAACATGTTTCATTACTACATGTAGGACAGAGGTGGGATGCTCGGGCTTTCCAAAACTTCTTCAGCTTGTCACATGAAATTCACGGATTATATCAAATAAAAAAAAAACTTTAAGCCATGGAAATGTAATCAACAACTCACAAGAAGGGATCAGGTAGTGATAACGAAAATTAGGATCTGGTATACACTTTAGTGGAATGTCCTCTTTATAATGCAAATAGAATAAAGTTAAGAAACCGGAATCGCATGAAAGAGATAATGAAAGACGAAGAACAAATTATTGATGTTATCAGATTTTTTGAAGGAAATACCATTTACTAGAGCCAGTATCATTCAGCAACTCCCTTGTGTAGATCAAAGGGTATGCTGGAAGGCAATACTAGTCTAATCATTGTAAATGAAGAAGCACATGCATCGCATGGACTTGACAGAAACACTTTCCTGTTGAAGACACAATAGAGGGGATGGTTCACCACATTCATGGTGAGTGTTCCGTACTCGTCCAAATTAGAGAGTCCATGTTAGTTCTGGTGGCGAAACATGGTCAGGATTTGAACTCGTCGCAAGCGTGGGATGGCTTGAGTGACGTCGGGGTCGGACAACTCTAATCAAGGAGGTAGTACAAAGGGAGGCCTGTATACGCGTGGATCTAAGTTCAGCTTCCGCTATAGTAATCCAGAATCCAAAAATCTTTGACGGTATTTAATGATAATAAAGTAAGTGTTAAGGCGGTCCCACATTACATGGCAAACTAGACGAACGTTGGTGATGCGTCGAGTTTGCCATATAATGTGTACGACTGGCACATGGCCAACGTTGGCGTTTGTCAAAGTTCGCCCAGCAGTCGGTAAACGGACCCACTTCAAAGGACATTCGCCATGAAAATTTGTAATACTGTAAGTGTAGGGAAGTTCGACATATAATGTGTATGAACCACTTGACAAACTTTAATTTGGCCGCCTTAATGTGGGGCTGCCTTTAAGCGCTTTCTAGTGTCACAATCTCAAAAGCAGTGCGGTGGATTAGTAAAGTACACTGTTCGCTGGTGGTTGGCCGTTAATGTAACATTGTGCTGTTAGAGGGCGACTGAATCGTGGTACAAGACGATGTAATCGTAAGAGTTTGAAAATACACCACAACACAAATAATAATGTGAAACCAGTAAACGAACTTAAATGAGACTCGAGGTAAGTTCGTGAACGACTTTGTTAAAAATTACGCTTGCTTTGTTAATTGTATTACGCGTCAGTTTAGTTCTGTTTTCAAATTTTTTTCGGTGTGTTGCAAGTGGGAAGTGAAGTTCGCAAACAATAATAATGTTAGTGAAAGTTTGTTAAAGTAGAATTTTTGCTTAACGCCGATTACCAATTTCCAAGCCGGTGATTGGCCATGGATGAAAACGAGCAAGAATCAAAATCGCCGATTAAACGGCTTGGCTCGACCAGAAAACTTTTAGTTTTCAACAGTAAGTACCTATTTTTTGTACATCCTTTAATAACGGATTTATGCAAAATATTGAATTTCAAGGTCAGCATATCCAATTATAAGTAATCGTGCAACTATCTTTAAAAATCCCCATAAATTCTCTCCTATGCAATTTGCCATTAGGTATTTTCGAGGGTATTTTATTTTCCAACGAGAACTGTTAGTAAATGACAGTTTCGCACGTTTTCGTTTGGTCGAGATAAGTGCCGGACGGAATAGAAGATAATTTTGTTATTACATAGTTTTTGCATTATTCCTCGCATTATTCCATAATATAAACAACGAAAGTGGGGGTTTATGCATTCTAATTAATCGGTTATTCCGTCTTGCAAGTCGCAGGTTACAAATTTATTTTCTATAAGATTGCCGATTAGGAGCTTTCAACTCCAATCGCCAACATGCCTGTTACGTTTAATCTGAAGTCCCATTTACGTCCACATTTCAGAGAGACGTTATGAATAGACGTCAAGATTGTGTTCCATTCCGATTTAATTGTTTCAGAGATCTATTATTACCTACCTACTATACACAATGGTTACCTAACCCTCGCTCGACATTGTATTTAACATTACTTGGAACGCGTGCACTGAAAAAGGGAGGTTTCATTGAAAATTTACTGTAAACTGTAAGGGATAGAGCAGCGCGATTATATAAGCCTGGTGAACCATAACGTGCAGATTATAGATAAAAGAAAGGTTGTTGCACATCACTGAGTTTCTCATAATGACGCTGGAAGCTAAATATTTTTCTTTGCTAGTCATATACAGGGTGCTTGGCTGTATTTATCTTTTATGCTACGTTACACAAATCATTGTTGGATGTGATTCTGTTAGCGCATTTCCAAGATGAGAAATTTTAAAGAAACCCAAACTTGCAAGAAGAAGTGCCTATAATGTTAGAATGTAGGTAATTTGCGATACTGCGTGCAGATATGCTAGATTTACCTGCAAATTGTACTACAATGACCCAAAACTGAAACTGAAGTATGCATAACTATGTTGAGTGGCCTTTCCCTTGTCCTATATCTGTTTAGGGTCTTTTGGATAAATATATTATTATTATTATTATTATTATTATAACATCCCTCAGTAAAATTAAGATTAAATCTCGAAAACTACTGAATTTCAGTATAGGACATTATACATGCAATCGTAGAACCCTCGGTAGAACCTACAAATTAAATAATATAAAGGGTGTTACATTTAAAATAAGCAAGATGGTGTCACCTTCCGGTATGACCGGAAATGACACCAACTTAAAATATTTTAGATGCATGTCTCTTATCGACATAAAGTATAATTCGAGGTATAATTTTAAATTTTCGAAATATTCAGAGGTGTACTTTTCTAACCAGCATTGATTGTGGTACGCCCTGTATATACCCCTCACTCTCATCCTGATGACATCCTTGACAAGCGCGCCGGCGGGTTTTTGGTTTCTTTCTTTTTATACATATTTATTTGAATACACAATCAATGAAATGCCTTGTGGTCTGTTCGTCTTTCTCTGCCCACGATAACTCTAGAACGCGAGAATAGCCGACCATCTTAATTTTCATATTAGGGTGCAAAAAACAGTAACAGCTAACAGCTTCTTGGTCCAAGAAATGAAAATAAATTGTTTGGGTTTTTATCCACTTTTACACCCCACGATCGATTGGCGCGAATCCCTTTGGGAAAGAAGTTATGGTGTCGATCTTCCTTTCTTCAGGCACTTTTTCTGTACATGGCTAAGATTATGATCTTTGGTGTACTTCTTTTTTTTGTATCTGTACCTATAATATAATTCGGTCTAATCTAATATGTAAATAGCTTACGTTGCGTAATGTTTGCATAATTTGTGTTCTAAAAAATTAATTTTCCGCTAACGTAATCTTAGTAATTTTCACATTCGATGTATAACAATGAACTCTCTTTCGCTCCTCTCGTAATATTACATTGCAGTTGTATTACTGTTATTAATATCTCATGCTCTGTCCCACTATTAATTAACAAACATAGACACCTTAATTATTGTTGGAAAGAATGCAATTATTCTACTGTTCTTATAAACAGATCGAAACAGATTAGAAAATGTACACCTGTGTTCTCTGTTTTTGTACCATTTGAATGCAAATTAAAAGATGTGCAGCTGTCTTTTTCAATTATGTACCGACCCATTCTTTTAGCAAGGGTATTACTAAAGAGTGCTTATAAAATACCTCGCCATCTTTGTGTGCGCTGCATTTGAAAGATTGCATTGTCGCACACCTGATACCTGACTACATTTCTCCCTTCTGGCTTCTAGAGGGTTTATTAGAGGGATAATGCATAAATTGTATTTTTTCCAGTTCCGATCCTTATCCAGTCGTATAAATAAACCTGGAGGTGTTCAGTTTACTCGTGGCATACCAATTTGTTATAAGGACACTGTATTATGCAAAAATGGTAAACATAAGTATCGATCATAAGTCAAATGCGTGCAAAATGTGTAAAAACTTGATCAATTGATATTTATTCCAAGATATGTGGTAGATCTCCATGGATTTACACACCAAATGGATGTTTGGTACCTATATGGATTACTTTCATCTGCAACGTTTATGGGTGTATATTTAGTTGCCTGATCATTTGTACAATTGATGAGTTAAATAGTACTTTACTTGATAAACTCCACTCCAAACCTAACTTTCCTTTTTTTCTTGCTTCCCTTATAAATTTCTGCAACACTAAATCGTCGTTTCCTGATGTTTGGAACGGGGCCGGGGGCTTAAATCGCACCCATCACGTTTCAAATCCTAAGGAAATAAATATGTGCGACCAAATTAGTATTTTGGTCACCTTGTTTGGAGGGGATTATGGAGAAGCAGTTGCGATTTGACATTAACCATGCCGTCCATGCTGGATTTAAGGCAGGAGATAGTTATACTTACACTACAGCATTTGTGACTGTCAGCAATGATATATTGAGGGCAAAGCCTTTCATACGCGCAATTATGATCTTTTGATTGCAATCGTAATTAGATTTGTCTCCATCAAGTTGTTATTCATGGGAAAAGAGAAATCAATACCACCACAACGCCTGTCTGTCATGCTTCCATTATTTCTGCAACTCATCCACCTCCTCTTTCGGTTGGGGCAGTTGCAATTGAAACCAAAGTTTGATCCATTGTTTATAGAGGAAAACGTACTTATTACCGGTATATTATTGTCAGCGTCAAGTAAGTAGCAGACGAGGTAGCAGATTCGGACTCAACATAGACTGGTCTGCAAGCGTTGTGACGACACTTCCCAAATTGGAAATAAAATTTTCTTTGTCGTGAGAGAAATGTGAATGAGATCTTTCATATTGTTTTGATAGTGACATTAAACTTACGGCGCCGCCATTAAAAAAAAGTGTAATATATTCCTTGGCCTAGTCAGTATAAAAATAAATGTTATTTATGACACATATTTTTTTAATTCGTCGAGGGAAACTTAAAATGTGGCCTGCAGATGTTTTCAGCTATGTATAATCAAATCATTAAATCTCGTAGATTCAACCAGGAGCACCAGAACCCTAGCGTTAATTTATTACAAGTATGCGCGCGACTCAATAGATAAGTTACAAAAAAAACTTTTAATGAAAATGATTATCTAAGTATAAATTAAATCAAAAGCTTCAAATACGTCGCTCGCTGTCGGGTTTACCTACCAGTGCGTGGAAGTGCACTTGATGACTGAAACAGATACTTTTTCTTCAATTGATATCTCTCACTAATAAAAATTAGAAGATCTTAATTATATACAGTTTTACAACCTTTCTACCTATTTTTTATCATACTGACCCCACAACTGCACCTCCCTCATATCTGTCAAGTGTAAATTTGTCTGTCTAGTCTGTGCACCTGCATTTTGTATTAGCTGTAACTGTACGCATCAGTGGCGTATTTACGGGGGGGGGGGGATGAAGGGGATATATCCCCCCCCCCCCCCCCCCCGAAGAATTGAGTTATCATCATACCTATTAGGTATTTAGGTAATACTCCGCTATCCGCTCCGCCCACTTTAAAATAAAGGCAATAATATATAGGTATATATATATAGAGAGCAATTTTGGTTTTGGTTAAAGTCTAAAGCCACTAAAATCTAAATATTCTGTAGTATTCAGTATTCACTATTCAGTGAGTGATCAGTGTTGGCAGTCAACGATTTGGCTATTCGGCATCGATCGGCAATTCGCTACATTGATGCCCAGAATAACAAATAGGTATCTAGGTACTTAGTACTGCTACTGAGGTGAGGTACCTGCGTCCTGCCTTTCACGAAATGACGAAAATAAGAATTTTAAATTTTAAAAACAGGAATTTTTTTGCCCATAACTTTTGATTGAGACGTCTAATCGCAAAAGTACGAATCGTTTTGGATTCTACGCACCCAAATTAATACGAAAAAGTTTTTGCCCGAGAAATTTTGGTGCAGTCGATTTTTGGTAAAAAAGGAAGGCCTTTTTTGCCCAGAAAAAAAAATTGTCTCAGATCGACCGGAAAAAAATATTTTCTTATAGAATGTGGCCTGTAGAATCCATAATTCCAAACAGTTCCAAGATCGGACTACTAGATCAAAAGTTACAGCCCTTTGAATTTTTTGTCGAAATTGGTTTTTTGCCCATAAATATACTTATTATTCAAAGTTTTCGTTGACTAATTAAAGCAAAAGCAATAAAGGGGCCTGTCAGCAGTAAGAAATAAAATACCGTTCTAATCTAATCTTTTTCGCCTGTACAATAATAAATAGATAAATGACTACCAGCATCAGCAACCTGCAACCCAATTTCTATTTCTTACCCTCCCCCTTCTAGTACGCACTGGGTGACTGTATGTGCCACGAACTTGTTTAATCCCCCCCAGAATACATTTCTACGTACGCCACTGGTACGCATTAAACCGCATGCTGTATTTTAATAACAGGAAAGTTCCTACCCTACTCTCGTAATAGGCGGCCTCGGGGTGCCGTCACGAAA